ATAGGTACCAAGTGTGTTATTTTTTCTGAACGATGATCACTGTAAATTTTGCGCGCGTTATTCAAATAATGCAATAATGCCGTCATATTTGTCAATAATAATATTTTTAATGTCTATGTGCATCAGCCCATTCGTAGATACAATGGGAAAAGAGACCAAGGAAGAACGAATTGCTGACAAATTCCTTACATTCACTTGTAAAGAACGTATTCAATCGCCATAGAAAAATTTTGAGACATTAACGCTCTGTCATGTAAAATGCATCAACATTGAGTGTCTAGAGAGTGCGAAATTTCACAAGAAAACTCGTCAATATGATCAAAATATAAAAAATTTATTTTTTTAACTCCAAAACTAAGCTGTGAGATGTAATTTTAGTGATTACCTGTGTGTCCAACTATATGGTCAGTTAATTACTAGGACTAATACACATCGAATCTAAAAAGATAATTGACAGAGTTTTCAAAATGCTCATCTCAAGATGTTAGGTCTGCTTGTATTACTTATGAATCAAAAAATAAAATGGACTTTTGGTCTCTGAAGATTTCTAATATATTGCTCAGTTGTCATAATCAACTACACATTCTCGTAGTCATGTAAAATCACCTTTGATAATAATGTTAACTCTTGTGAAAAGATAATTAGCGAGGCATCAAAGAACTCTAACTTATTACAACATAAAGTTAGATGTAGACTGGTAAATATTTACCATATGGAAAATTGCACGTACAAAAATCATGTCTGTTTCATAGTTCCAAGTGTTTCAACTGTGAGAGAAGAGTGGTCACTTTATGATTATGTCATACTAATACCACATCATATGTTACGTATAACCAACCACAGCCTACAACAACGGGCGGTGTTTTCTGGTGCAGGAGTTGACTGGAAGAAAGCAAAGGGTTGACCAAACCAAAACTTGGGATCGGTTCATGAAGTCACCGACAATTGGATTTAGCCATGTTAATAGGTACGAACTACCTGACTGTGACTATTGTAACCATTGGTTAGAGACTTTGAATGACACGGCTCAAAATCGTTTGTAATGGCAAATCTAGATATGATAATGATTTTCATCGACAAACTGATGGGGTTGCAATGGGTTCACCACTGGGTCTTCTCTTGGATGACATTTTTATAGCCCATTGGAAAATATGATACTTCGGCGAATGACTAAAAGATTTCATTTATATGAGAGTTATATGAATGACCCTTTCATTATTTTTGAAATTTTGGATCGATCCAATAGCTGTCATCTCTCAATTTAAGCAGAAGCGAATAAGTAACTCCACTTTCTTGATGTCCGGTTACAGAAGGTCATATCTTTCTTTCCAGACATCTACATATAAAAAACCAACCTCGAATGGTCAGTATAGGAATTTCCAAAGTTGAGTCTCATCGAGTAGAAAGAGGAAATTAATTCACTCTTTTTCCTTGAAGACTAAGTGGTTATGTTGTAATAACAAAATAGATGACGGACTACTTCAATTTCGACAGATAGTCATTAGAAATGGTTATCCACCTAGATTTATCGATAGGAACTTAACACCAAGACAGTATCCTGAAAAAGCACTGATAGTTAAAAATGAAACTCGTTTTATGAATACCAAGTTTATAAGAGATACGGTTGCTAAAATCTTGAATAACGGGTTTCAAAATCCGTGAATAAAACCTTCTATTCAGCTAGGCTTCGTATTGTCTTCTCAAGCCGACCTACTATTCACTGATGTGTTAAGGATAAACTTCGATGTACATCTACAAGTTTACTTTCTTCTATGAGGCAGGTTACATTGGCTCCACAATGCGATCACTTTCCAAACGTATCTCAGAACATTACCCGGAGCGGCTTTCAAAAGGAGAATGAAAAACAGTTACCGGTTCAATACAGGAGTACCTAATCATCTCTGAACAAGTCGCACCAAAGGAGTTTTCTCTTAAAATTTACAAAATCGAAGGGAGTCTGAATCCAAACCTGCACCACTGAAGCGTCGGTGATCCAGCAGTTCAAGCCCAAACTATGCGTGTAAAAACGATATGTTCAACCTCTTATCCTTCCTTGGCCCTATTTCCCTTCTGTAGTATGTTTTGGTGGGTTTTTTTGTCTTTTTTAAATTAGTGTTTTGTAATTTCAAAAAGTAATCTATTATTATTATCCTTTAACAATTGTTCATGACTATTATTCAATTATTATTATGACTTTTATGTTTTTCGTTTTTCTTCATATCTCTCAAATGGACAATTATCTTTCATAATTTTGACCCGTTAGTTGTTTTCATCCTCCTATTCTTCTCTATCGTCTTGAATATTACATAACCTCGTTTGATATTTAGTCTTGAATTCCTTTGTGAAGCAATCTTTTCTACCGTTTTATAGACATTTATTCACTATACAACCATAAAAACGAATGTACAGCTTCAGTAAATGATTTCGTCGAAAAAAATGTTTTTCCACTGGATTCTCTCTATTTCATATTCAATGACACAATAAGTTATTTTAAAATTAAATCTCTTCAATGAATTCTATATTCTTTACTTTTTAAAGCATAGGTTACGATGTTCTTGATATTAGATTATTTATAATTTTGATCAATGTGGGGATTTGCGGAAATTGTAGTATTTTCACAGTTGGATACACGAGTCGATCTAAGCTAGAATATCGATTACTTGAAATTAGACCTTAACACTATTGGACGCCGGTTCAGTGATCTGGGGTTTAAAAGTCTACACGCGAGACCGATGGCCCTGAGTTCGAGTTCCACGTGAGAGATCATGGAGCGTACTGCTGGGACGAAACGGTCATCTAGTGCTTCCAGGTTTTCATTGGTTGTCTAGCTTAGATGGGATCGTGAATTCAATTATAATTTTGAATTTTTTCTCCGAAATAATACAGATATATTTGTTAACTGAGTAACCATGGTGATTTGCTTTTTGGAACGAACAAATTAACATGAATAAAACGAGTTTTATGGGTAATAGTCATAGTAATAGTAAGCTATTCAAATACGTTTTCTACCTTGAAAAAGATTATTGTTAATATTTAAGATTGCTAATTGTCTTTGTTCATCGGATGGTTGTATTTTTACTTATATGAAACTATAGAAAGAGGAAAATCGGATTCAAGCATCATGTTTGTGTACATTAGATACAAGCGGAAAAACGTTCAAAGTATTAAAAATAATAATTATTTTCAGAAAGAAAATAAATTAGAGAAAAATGATTCATATTTAGGGCGAAAAATATAATAACCAACAATAATCATAAAATTTTGACATACAACTTAGAGAAATTCCTATGAAAACCTATTCACTACCCGTTTATCATAAGCAAACAGTTAAATTTACTTGGTTTTGTTTACTTGAATCTTCCCATTGATGTTTAGGACTGCAATTGGTCAGTCTTTTATTGGCGTATGTTAGTCCTGTGTGGACTGCCTCTATATTGTCTTAAGTTACAAGCTTTATAAGCAAAGATGGATAGTGGCTAGCAGTGGGATCCAGGCCGTGCGTTTCGTCCTATTTGGGATTCGTCAGTTGGATGTACCTGCAAGCATTAGAGCAATATCAAGATAATACGCACAGTATGCACATATGCCACTAAGAGACTGATCAATAGCACTCCTAAACATCAACAGGAAAATCCAAGTAAACAATACCAAGTGAATTTAAACTTTACCCGATTGCACAAGCAAGTGACTAACAGGGCTCAGTAGCTCAGTGGATAACGCGATGGCGCTTGAGGCGAACGGTACCGGTTTCAAGTCCCAGAGTGAACATCAACTCTGAGATGCAGGAGCATTCAGCTGACGAGTCTCAAATAGGACGAAACGTGCGTCCTGCATTCAAACAATTAAAGATAATGATGAGGTGATGTAACTTACAATTGGTTAGAAATGACGTGCGTATAGTCACGTTCCTAATTTCCTTAGATTTCTGAGTTTCAAAATTATTCTATTCTCTTTTATTCCACAAACTTGTACTTTCTTCTCTAATCGGAATGTTTACGCTTAGCGTTTTTATTACTGTGGCACGTGCTACTTATACGGAAAGATACAAGTGTTATGAAAGAGAATACAGATGAAGACAACGGAAGCAAAGTGACAGAATATCTTGGTAAAATATAAGAACCATACACTGAATACTTCATTTGCAAATTTCCATCATTTCTCCTCCACACTCTGTATGATTCTTCCAGGTCATAATTTCTTCCTATTTCCCGTTCTATTATCTTCAAATTGCTCTTAGCCTTTTGCTTTCAACTACTCAACTTTTGATTGGTGCTGTATACTACATATACCACAGATTAGATTTAAGACATACAGGTTACGTAAGAAGCACTATATCATTGAACCGGTGAATTAACGAGTTTGTAGGGAAAATACAGCTTTAAAACTGTAAAGGTGGAAGTACTAGACATCAGTTACATCATAGTAGGGACTCTTTAGCAGTGACCATCCATAAATCACATCGTGGATTGAACTTAGGACCTTCAGATTTCTCAGCAACCGTTTAACCTTTAGATTGGGCATCTAACTTTTTATATTTTTAAATTTAATAACTTTGTAATGTTGGGGAGCCATTTTTCACTCCAGCTGCTGGGTAACTGCCTCATGCTGACGTAGTTTAAGTGATATCTGTAATCCTAGTGTGAATCAATGACCTGTGGGGTTCAATAATGTTGGTAGCGATGCGGTCATCCACCAATGGCTTGGAAAGACAGTTGTGCAGTGTCATGAATTGGTTAGGCGCACATCTCAAACTTTAACGCCCCAAGTTCAACTCCTGGTGGATCGTGGTCACTTACTGATGTACGGAGTTATTCCATGATGTTAAGTACAAAAACAGTGAAGTACACAAACATTAATTCCAATATTCAAAAACACTTTAATTTGTATCTCAAATATAGTAACAACAGTCTAATACCTTTTTTCACAATGACCAATTTGTGTAAATTGTCAGATTTAATTAAAAATTTAAGTTATTTCCTCTTTTTAAATCATTTTTTAAGCGATAATCTGCAGTATGCTTATCCAGTTTTATACTTGTATGGAAGTGCTTCCAATTCAACACCGATTCATTTATCACGTTTAGAGTGTCCGGTGAATGCATCAAGTTTAAATGATTGTAAATTAGGTGGTGGTTGGGGTTCAGCACCTGGTTGTACACATGGTATGGATGTTGGCTTACAATGTGGACCACCGTCAGCTTCGGAAGATCCAGGTTAGTGCAGTGTGGTTTAGTTCTAATTATCTTTGCGTTATTAACGAGAAATAACTTTTTTTTCAATCTGAGTTTGGACAAGATCTACTAAAATATAATGTAAGAAACAAGATCAATAAAACTACGACAGTTGATTATATGGTACTCTAAACGCAATTATTTATTCGATTAACGGATAAGAAAGAACTATCTGATAATTTTAGTGTAGTCAGATATGCCTATCTTTGCTCAACGATCAATCATGACCCACTCACACTAGAAACATCGGCTTATTATAGAAAGATCAGGACTTAAAGGCAAATTGAAATAAGGATAAATTACATAACTTATTAACTAATCAATTTTCACTAGATATATTAAACTTATTTTGATCAAAGAGAACACAGTAAATTATAGTGATGGTCGAATTAGACAGCGATTTTATTCATTTAAAATGCCAGAATATTCATTAAATATTTCTAATGAGACATTAAATAGGGACAAGTTGAGTGAATAAATACTTCTTTTCAATTATCTGTTCATCACAGCCCTACACTAATATATACATAGGTTTTATAAATGAGTAGAAAGTTGATACCAATTAAATGGTGGACAGTCAATTTATTTATTTATAAGTCAGTCAGTCAGCTAATTGAAAAGCTCCCAAACGCCCTGGTATGGCCGAAAATGGGGAGGGCCTGCCCTTCCTCTTGAAATGCTCTCACACGGCCACGCGCATACAGCCTCTGCCAGGGAAGTCCTACTCAATGCCTTCTCGTGGCGGAGGTGTTGTTTACGGAGTGAGAGGACGAAAAGCAAATGTCCGGCGCTTTAACCGGATCCCAAACCAGTGGTGCAAATGGGCTCCAGTATCCTGCGGGAACAAATGGCGTATGAACCAATTTTTGGTCAGCGGCTACCATGGGACTGCATCTCCTCACGATGCTCCATTGTCTTGTGGGTCAAACATTTAGGTCAAAGGCTCGGGGTGTGGCCCCCTAAGATAACCACCTGGTTCGGTCTGGGCACCCGGGCAGTACCACAGCCCTCACACAAATATGATATGATGAACTGTCACTAATTGAAAAGAAGTATTTATTCACTCAACTTGTCCCTTTTTAATGTCTCATTAGAAATATTTAATGAATATTCTGGCATTTTAAATGAATAAAATAGCTGTCTAATTCGACCATCACTATAATTTACTGTGTTCTCTTTGATCAAAATAATTTCAATTTGTCTCGAGAAAACTCATTTTTCCTGTAAAGAATTTGCGAAGTTTGTAGTATTTTTACGACTGAACTCATGAACTGATCTTAAGTAGAACATCATTGAAAACCTAAAAGCACTGGATGGCTGTTTCGTCCTAGTATGAATGTACACTATTGATAAATCTCATACTATTAAGATGAAAAGGCCGTTCACTGCTTTCAGGTACTCAGTCATGGTTTAGCTAAGATCAGTTCATGATTTTATTTGTAAAACAAAACTGATTTTGACAGAGTCACTTTGTTTATTAATAAATGCTAATAATACACAAATGTATACATTGTAGTTTCTTTTTCTTCCCTTTAAAATACTCTTTAGATTTTTATCAACCTATATTCTATTGTAATCAAACAACAGCGATAATTATCTATGACAAATATTATAATCCAGATTTGAATTCAAGTATGATTCGATTAGATCAAGATCTATTACCAATTGAATGTCAATATCATGTAGATGATAATACAACGCATATTATAGCTTATGTTCCACTTGTTGGTTGTGGTGGGAGTCTAACATTGGTTAGTTAAAATTAATGATCAATTTGTTAGTTTTGTGTTCTCCCAAATTCCAATCACCTAATTCCTCCTTATCTCTTTCTTTCTCTTCCCAAATTTATTTCACTGGATTATACTCTTTAAATAACATCTCCAAACACTAATCTTTCCGATTACTGCTTATACTCTTACTACCTCTACCACTATGGGATTTGAATCGACAACTGCATCTCTGTGCTAATGTGGTATGGCAACTCGGACTGATGTACGTACGTACGAAGTTCTACGTTGTTACTGACTGACTACTAAAGATGTAATTTAATGCGTGATTTATCTTCTTTATTTTTTTCAAAAATAAAATTAAAGTTGGATAATCATTGACATTGCCAGGTATGACGTGTGTTTCATCATATATGAGACGTGTCAGCTAGAGACATATTTGTATCTTAGTGTGAAGGTGTTCAAGTAAGGACTCGAACACAGTGTCTATCGCTTCTTACGAGTTATCCAGTGCACAAGCTAATGGTTATTTAAACTTAGTAACTCAACAATTAACCCATTGACTTTTTGAAGCGTAAGGGACTGAACTTGAATCTCAATTCAAACAATAGCACTAAAATGACGGTTCGTCCGATTGATACGTCCCAAATTAGATCCCATTTCTAATCACTATCAGACTTTATTAAACTTTGTAACTAAATAGCATTGATATCGAAACAATCTGCTCGGGATACCAGTAGAGGCTGATCAGTTACAGTCCTTAACATCAACAGTAGAAAAATACAAAACATTATAAATTAAACCAATTTAATGATCAGAAGCAAACATGCTGAGGGTGTCAGTTTGAGTTTCTCTACATTTGCTTCTGTTATATCCCGATGACAATTATGAATGGTAACTGTTGGGATCTATTTATGGACTAATGCTATAAATATATTTTTATTGTATAATTGTTATGCATAATCATGTTCTTCCTATTATAAGCTTTGTTTTAACCCATAGACTATTATTATACGACTTACCGCTCTTGAGTTGCACCCGGTCTATTAGTTACAGTCTCCCACATTCACAGCCACTTTGGGCTAGACCTTGTACAAATGTTATTTTCTGTTTTGTGGTACGATGTGATCTGTTTGGTTTGTATATAAACCCAATATGTTTGAAACACGTAATTCATATTGCGGAGGCTGATATTGGTGTTCTGAAGTTAACAGGCAGAGCTTAATACTTAATACTCATGCAACCAACAAACCTACGGCAAGTGAAATACGGGATGACCGCCTCTTGTCAGGTCGTTTAAGGTCGTTGATACAAAACGGTGGGCACCTTCGAAAGTCTGACATTTTTCCCGTGCCGACTATCGGCAAAATTTCATAATAGCTATTGGGTGAAATACGAATGTCATGTATAATACGTGATCTTATCATTTGCTAAACGATGTATACATAAATTACATATAAGTGGGTTAATCAACACTCTCCCTAAATCTTTCACTCGAATCCTCAGTCCTGAAATAAACATTAACTTAATAGTAATAGGTTTTATGAACTGATGTTTTGATCAGACGGAGACTCCGAAACTTTGGCACGAAATTCGTTCATCCATATGTTTGCATAGCATTTTTTTAATTATATTTGATATCAGTTCATGATTCCGACCCTTATCACAACCCTCCAATCTTTACCTCCAAAATCCCTAAGTCGAAATTACGAATAATGTAAGAAATTGTAAAAATCTATTCGTATAGTTATCAGGTTTCACTGAGGGTGGATAATATCTGTCTATTACGATGAGTTCATACGATGTCGTTTTAACTTACCGGTTTAGTACACACATAGAAAACTTGAATAGTTACATTTATTATGTGAAGTTAGTTTACACTTTATAATCCTGTTGTTCTCTTTTCAATAAATTATTCATTTTCTAATTGGCTAAAAACTGGTTGAATATCTCTCGTGGGTATTTCAAATTCATCCTTTATGCCATACTTTTGCCGAATTTCCATTATAAACTTGTACAATCATATATTTCGATAATGCAATGAGAAGACGAAGTTTATCAGAATTATGTGATATATTTGCGCAATACATTTCGAACAATCTGATCACACATTATATACTTGTTAAGAACATTTATGTATGAAAATTAAAAGGTCAACTAGACAGGTTAAGAGTAAGTCATAACGAAGGAAAAAATAATAAAGTACAACAAAAACAAAAGTGATTACCACTCTGGATAATAAATCAGTATTACCAGGGTAGGTTAAGTGTAGGGACAAATTTTTTCTGAACACATAAAGGGGGTTTCAATTTCCGTATAGCCAAGGCTTCAATAAACCTTAGTATACATCCTTGAAGGCTTTTGCATGACACTATAAGTGATGGTTTGATGTCAACCTTATGACCAGTCTCAATCAAATGTTTCGCAATGGAGAATTATGTCTGTCTATCCTGTGATCTTATTTGACCATTGGAATCCATTTGTTTCTGCAACCATTTTGGTATGTGTTCACCCACCGTTAATTGTAGATCACGATTGTTCCTCCCTCTGTATGTGTTTCCACACATACATGTAAATCGATAGACGCAATGGGATGTGACACAATCGCTTTCGTGCTGTTTGGGCTTTTGGTGAAACATAAACCGTGTCTTTTCGATAATGACAAGTTGGGCTGCATAAAATGTCCGGTTGATAGCTAATTTAAGTCTCCGTTTCAACATGAGACTATTTGTGTCGCCTCTGAATGGTAACGTAATATAAACTCGCTATATATATCGATTTATTTATATCAACATCCCTTGTATGGTGAGTGGACGAAATTTAGGTTCATGTTTGTTTATGGCAACTAGAAATAATTCATAAAATAGCAAAAGTATAATTTACTGACAAGTTAATCAAACTGAACATGACGGTGCTAGATTTTAGCACCGAATTCCAAACCGCTGTGACCGATTGATTTTATCTGATTATGAGCTAAATCGAAAGCAGAGGATAAACACCCATCATCCTCTATTGCTAAACATATAATTGAAACAGGTCATAAGATTGATCTAAACTCAGCTTTTATGGTGCTGTATAAAAGTGCAAAAGGGCGTATACTAAGGTTTATTGAAGCCTTAGCCATACGAAAATCCAACCCCCTTTGTGTGTTCAAAAAAAGTTTGTTCTTACCTTAAACCCACCTTGGTAATATGGACTTATTATCCGGAGTGATTAGATTTTGAATTGTGTTCACCTTATTATTATCACTCGTATCATTATCTTTATTTCCTCTTACCCCATTTCCAGTCTAGTTGACCTTTTATTTTTATATATAAATGCCCTTAACAAGTATATGTGTGATAAGATTGTTCGAAATGTATTGCGCTAATATATCACATAATTCTGATATTCTTCGTCTTCTTATTAGATTATCGAAATTTATCAAACGGACTAATTGTTTTCAAGAAAATATTTAGTTATTGTCATTACTTTATTATCAAGACACTTAAAATAGATGAACACGGCAAGATCAAAGAATAGGGGTAAACTTAATCAATTTGTAAAATAACATTGACAATATGATTTGTTTTACAGGGAAAAATCCGTTGTAGACAGATAGAACTAAATTATCTGTAACACTTTAATGCAACTCATGAACTTTTCAAGATAACTTAGGAATCCTTGATATTTAAAACAAAATAATTATCTGTATATGTATTTATTTAGAAGGCTATAGCCAGGCCTTATATACATAGCATTCTCTCATTTTATTCCTGTTATTGAAACTTTCTAACCCTAATCACATTTGTAGGCTCTCACTTTAATGAATTACTCATCACCTGAATTCTTATTGGCTCAAATTCCGCTTTATTTTGTCGAGGTCATTTCAACATGGTTGAAGGTCGTTGGTTAAACATACTTTAACCAATAAAATTACTGAAGTAACTAACACTATGGAACCAATGATTTAGTCATGGAATTAATTCCTAAATATTGAATATTAGGAATCGCTGGTCCTCTGATATATATATATATATATATATATATATATATATATATATATATATATATATATATATATATCTATATCTATATCTATATCTATATCGCGCGAGGCCCATCGGTCATGAGTTCGGATAATCCCGCGAGTGGGGGTGTATGTGCGTACTGCTGAGGAGTCTCATACTAGAACAAAACGGCCGTCCAGTGTTTTTAGGTTTTCCATTGTGGTCTATCTTTAATTAACTCATGAATTCCACTATCAAATTACTATAATATCCACAAAACCCCTATTTGATTATGTATGATTATGTGCTATTTCATTACTCCAAATATTTTAGCCTAGGTAGTTTGATAATGATTTACTTATTGTAAATAACTGGTAATTATTAGAGAAAAAGAAGTTGAAGTTCACTAAACAACCTATAATATCCACTCATTTCTGTTCACCATAACAATGCTGTTTAACTGAACATGAATAAAATGAAATCAGTCTATTCTTACAATCTTATTGCATTTAAAATTTCTCCAAACTGTATAGAGAAGAACATAACAAAAAGCTCAAATCTCATAAATGAGCAAAAAAACTGTGAGATTAAAGTGTTTTCATCTTGACATTCAGCCATTGCGTGTACTTTATCGATGATCAGCTGTTGGTGAATACTAAGAATCTAACTTGAAATAATTTCAAACATAACCAAAAGAACATAGTACAGGTGTGGTGTATGTTATCTATGTCGACAGAAGTAGTATATAACACTATTCAGAAGTAGGATGCCTGACAGCAGAAGAGAACAGGGACATAGAGTAATTGTTATGGCAATGAAAGATCGATGAAGTTTGAGATAATTGATTGAGGATTTACAACGTATGGTTTTCATATTTTACCAAAGAACATAGTAATTTCGTATTAAAATACAATTGCTTGTACCCACCTGAGTGTGTAATCGTTAAATCCAACTTACGAAGGAAGAAAAAGAACAAATCAGTACGGACTAAGATTGGAATTTTGTTATATTGGACACTACTCAGTGACTTTTAATACATGTTTATTATAATTTGTGTTTCAATGACAAATACTCAGTTGATAAATTCTAATTATTGACTTAAGTGTATTTTCACTTATATCGAAGTTAATCATCAACATAGTTTCTATTACTATACTAGTCTTTTTACTTAAATTAACATTCCAATGAATAAAACGGATAGAAGTAGTCTTGTTGAAGTTGTAAAAGATTAGTTATAACTCACGAATGTTTCATATAACGAAAAATGTTACTCGCTTAGAACGTAGATAACTCATGGTTGTGTTCTAATATCTATCACAAACATATAGAATATTCTATAAGAATCAATAGTAAAGAAATGTGAATCCATGTACTCTGACTGATTGAAAGTAGAACTATTCAGTTCTTTAAATCAATATAGATGAGATCAAACATACAATTTATAATGTAGAAATTAACTGTTTTTATCTATAATTATAACAAAACAAATGACGAATGAAATTATGCTTTAAAAATTTATCACTCGAAATCAGTATGACTTTTGGGGGGGGGGTGTTGCTAACTATATATCAACCATTGATAGTCCCATAGAAACTTTCCATAAATTTCTATAAAACAGTGATTTATGCATCATATCTCTATTGAATAATTACTTATATTGTTGCCAGTTTTAGCATGATTCCATGAACGTTTAGAGCACCAAGGCTACACATAAATCCATGATATCCTTGTTTCTTCATAATTAAACGAACTTTGGCAACAAAGCTTCTTTTCATACACTCTACCTTTTATCTTTTATTTAAGGTCCAAGTGTATGAGATATCTGTTGGAGGTGGGGTGATTAGGAGGAGGCTGTTAGAAAGTCAGTATCAGGGGTTTAAATACTAGACATATCATTTATTAAATACATATAAAGTAGTATGTAATAAATTTCACAATTGATATTCATTATCAAATATTTCCATCTTACTAGTTTTATAGTCTCACCAATAAGATTAAGTGACAATTAAATAATTATCATTTTGTTTACTAATGTAGAGAATATTTGTTTGTTCTAAGTATATACTTCATCAAATATTTATTGAATGGATAGTAACCGTAGTGTTAGTAATAATAGTAGTAACGCAAACGAAGATGGTACTATGGTTTCATTAAAGCCTAGAATTTTGTGACCTTAAATTGAAAACTGTGAAAATACATTCCTTTACACATATATACAAAAACAATTCAACATAACTAAGCAACCAAATGTTAAATAGATTAAAACGCCAATTGCATGCATTTATATATACTCAATCCAATAAACACGGCAACTGCATTACTAGCTTTTGATGAAACATTCAATGGTCTCTGGAAATACTTATAAAGAGTTGTAAGTTGTTTCTAGACATAAAAAGTCGAGGTAAACATATCTTTTTGATTAAATAAAGTGTCTTAATTTAAACTGTCAACACTGGATAAATGATATGAAACTAGTAAAACTGTAGAATTCCTGTATGTTATAAAATTATTGAATGTGTTCATTCTCTTCTATACCTTCTGATCCTGTAATTCACTTTACAGTTGATTACTGATGCATTAAATTTTTGAGTAAAATACTTATGATTGATAATATTACGTGAAATTATTCAACAGTTGAAACCGTTCAACGTTTAAAAATTTTCCAGGAATTTTGGAACAATCAGAATGTAGATGTGACACATGTACTATCATAAATGAAATGTATTGTGAAGTGGTCATGTCTGATGAATATGAAATCTCCTTTGAAAAAACTTTTTATAACCTTATTTTGTGTATTTATGGAATAGGCTATATTACAGATATATGTATACTAATAACCTCCTACCTGTTGAACAAATAACTGTTCACTGGGATATGTACCAGGCTCAAGTTATAGTGTGAACATCAACACTACGATACAATTATATCCAGCTGACGAATTCCAGATAGGAAGAAACCCACCTCCTAGATTTTACTGATAGCCGTTTACCAAATAAATATATAACAGATTTAAGTGTTGTATACTAATTACTTTCAATCACCGAACATAGTGCACCTCCATGTGTTTAATCAGTTATTGGCCTCACTAAAGAGTGTATGAATGGGTTCAAGCAGTTATCCCTTGTGTTCTGAGGTCATGCCTCCAGTTTTTATGACCATATTTACCCAGGTGTTTTCAGATACCTTAAGGTGCATTATACCTCCACAGTGTTTACACTCTGGAAATGAAAAGCTAACACAGACATACTCATAATAATTGTGCTAACTTCATCAGGTGCATGTATGCACCGAGTTTCATGTAGCTTGTGAACGTCTGATTCGTCGTACCTTTTTACCATATCCTTTAAAATACTTCATTACTATCATGAACTAGCGAATCCCCCTTCAACAGTCTGAAGCTACTACGCCGGCCATGATGAAGTCTGAAGTTCTTCACTTCTGCTCCTGGCCCACATACCATCTTGATGTCGAGTGGTCAGCGAAAAATCTTAAACCAGGAGCGCTATTTGGACAAGTCGACTATCGAACTAATAAGTCTAAGTCCACTTGTCCTTGTCTAGGTCAGCAGAGCAAACAAATATATATACCAATGATTCTGTTTGTCAATTAAAGCTTAGCAATAATTTTTTAGTCTCTCACTAACAAAGTTGACTGGTCAAGTGTATAAGTGGTGCACGTATCTGAAGCGCACGTCGTGGGTTGTAACACGTCTAGCTTATGTCAATCCATAGCATTGACAACAAACTAAACTACCTTTGCTAATAATAATTATATCCTTACTAGTTGACTAACTAAGACTACATTTCCTCCTTCTTCTTCTTCTTCTGTATAAATAAACGTTTTACATTTATTAACAATTGAATCATTTGGATATCAATATATGTTTATATATTTCTATAGAGTAATTCAACTTCCATTGCAATTAAATTAAATTTGCTTCGGGAATATTTAACACCAGAAAATGGTATTATATCAAATTTACCAATGAAATTCACTGTGACCTGTTTAATACCACGTTCAAAACAAATTCAATCGGAAGTTGTTGCTTCACCAAATATTACTACAAATTTATTATATCAAAGTGAGAGTGTTTTATCAACATTGAAATTATATCGTGATCAATTGTAAGTCAGTATTAGTTAATTTGCTTAAATTAGTTTTATTAGCAGTTTATTACGATTTGGTGGATGGTGGCTAACAGTGGTATACACGATGCACGTTTTGAGTACTATAGTGGAAGTCAACTTTGAGATGCAGGTACATCCAGCTGACGAGTCCCAAATAGGAAGAAATGAGCATCCTGGATTCCACCGTTAGTGCCGAAATGCCCTGGTACGACCGAGGATGGAGAGAGTCCGCTCTCCCTTTCCAAATATTCTCACGTGGCCACGCGCTTACAGCCACTGCCTTCTCGCGGCGGGGGTATTGATTACGAAATTGAGAGGACGAAAAGCGAATGTCCAGCACTTTAACCTGGTTAGCGGATACGGAGAACCCACCCAGGGGAGTTGGAAAACCCTGATTCCAAACCAGTGGTGCACATGGACTCCAGGATCCTGAGGGGGGAAGTGGCGTATGAACCTATTGTTGGTGACAGGTTACCATGGGACTGCATCTCCTTACGTTGCTCCACTGCCTTGCGGATTAGACCACTAGGTCAAAGGCTTGGGGAGTGATCCTCTAAGAAAACCACCTGTGTCGGTTTGGGCACCCGGACAGTATTCGAACTCTCATACAAATCAACGGTAACTACTACTGGCTTCATCGTTATTGTATGGCGCATATGTATTCGGTGCCCCCTTGTACCAATGTTTATGTGTTCAAATAATAATAAACTATCCATCTTTACTGATAATGCTCGTAACCAAACGGCAATATCGAGGCATTCCTCACAGGATGCACATATCGCAAAAAGAAACTAATCAATTACAATCCTTAACATATAATACTCTAATTCCAAATGGCAACTTATCACCCCAAAATGCAATCCTAATTCCCTATACTAAATTATAACCCTAATTTGCCCCCAGTAAATAGGTGAATTTTCTCAAGGTCACATTAACATTCCTCAAAAGTCGCCTCAACCCTATCACTTGGTGATGCATATGCGATGTGTGGGCGAGAATGATAATGATTGGTTGTCTGCTCAGACATGTAGATAGTCTGACAGGTGTCAGATGAGTTATATATCCCCCTATCATTATAATCATTATTATTGATTGTTGTTGGGTTGTGGTGCGGTAATGTATTAACGTTCTAGTCAGACTAATCATGTATTTTTGATCTGAATTGTGTTGAAGTCCTGTAGAATAGACACTGGGAGGGAATCTAGTGTAGATATTCGTCTAAGGTAAATTTACGTCCCATACATGTAAATGTGGAAATCCAACCGTTATAACAATATGTATATATACTCAACCGTCCTATGTTTTTATTATTATTTTCGCTTACATTCAAGTAAATGGTTAAAATTCTCAAGATCATCAGTTATGTTTATTGAGTTGATGAAATGTCTGTCTGTACTTTATAATTTCATTATAACTATATTAATCTTCCCTTTTATAGCATGGATACTGTTGTTCTTGTTGTTGTATATATCTGCTGTATTGATTACGAATAAAATTTTGCAATGCATAACCAGATATATAAGGTGTATAATGTTGGATTGTAATAAACTTTGCATAGTTTGAAATATATGACTGACTTTTGTTGAAATCGATAATCAGAGAAAGAAAAAAACCTACGGTTTTCATTTCTAGGTTTATCAGTCATTAACACTGTGAGAAACCTTATTTCAAAAAAGCATGTTAGATATGATTAAATAGGAAAACATAGATACGAAAATGATGGAAAATTCTGTATCTAAAGGAATATGAGTTAATTTTTTCCCTGACATGCATTATCCTACTAACCTAAAATCAGTAGTTTGAGTTATTCAACTATTTTTAAAGCTTTCTTCCACACTCATTTGCATCCAAGCGATGAATGTTAAATCCTTGGGCCCATTGAACAAAAAATCTCTAGTCATGTGTCTTGTTGTATTTGAATTTCATTCTAAGTATAGATCTTTGATCTTTCAGTTAATTAGCAGTATTCGAACAGCAAGCAATAATATATATATATATATATATATATATATATATATATATATATATATATATATATATATATATATATTTGGGCCAACTGATTGTACTGGAATAATTTTTAGTGTTTTTTAGCAACGTTGTTTTCTACCGCACGTTCAACCCTCCTCCTTTACCTGTGCTTGGGACCAGCAGTAATCCTAGAAGAGCTACAGGTCGAGTAGCTGGAATATTGAGTTGTATGAAAACAGTAATTTTTGAGACTTTAAGACGAGATTTTCAGGTTCAATTGCAAATTCCTTGACTATTGAGCTATTTCTTTACCAATACGAAACTTGATGGTAATCTTGTAAAGTGAAACGAGAATATAATATTGGTTGATATTTACTGTTGATTGCAATTATTATCGACCACAGATATGAAAATAGTGTTTCCAATAATAAATATCACCATTACCTTTTCCTGATCTTTTGTTACTCATGAAAATTATAAATGCAGATAACTTAAAATATCACTGTTGTATCTCAACTCAATATAGGCAAGTTAAAATTGACGAACTAACTTACTGATATATACATCATGTAGTACTACAATACTAAATTACTTACTTACTTACGCCTGTTACTCCTAATGGAGCATAGGCCGCCGACCAGGATTCTCCAACCCACTCTGTCCTGGGCCTTCTTTTCTAATTCTATCCAGTTCTTGTTCATTTTTCTCATGTCCATCTCCATTTCCCGGCGTAATGTGTTCTTTGGTCTTCCTCTTTTCCTTTGGCCTTGAGGATTCCATGTGAGGGCTTGTCTTGTGATGCAGTTGGGTGCCTTCTTCAATGTGTGTCCTATCCACTTCCAGCTCTTCTTCCTCTGCTGGGATCTGGTTTGTTCTTTCCCACAGTTGGTTATTGCATAATACTAAATACTACATTACAAATCTTTGTGAGAAAACTAAGTACTTAATCACAGATTTATATACATTTTGTCCACTGATATGGACAAGAATAAAGAGCTTGAAATCTTAACGAATTCCAGATTTAACTACTTTCAATAGTGTCCTTTTTTATAATCTCATCTATTGTTTGACCTTATGATAACATATTTTAGCACTGATGCATAGTATATTTACACTCATCAAGCTTATCAAAGTGATAGATACTTTTGAACATTCTAAAACATCTACTTACTTCTGATGTGCAGATTTTTGTAAGAATGGATTCAAGTGTAATGTTGAAACATTTAATATGCTTAGATTTCTTTTCATTTTCATACAATGTTGAATGTTAGGAAATACTACAAATGGGTATACACTTCCTTTTTTGGACTTATCAACATTTTCACGTTTTTTTTACACAATAAGCATTAAAAACTGAATTTCTTTCCTGTTCCATTCATTGAAGTATTCAAACCAAACGAATTGAGTCACGTGTTAAATCCTCATTGTAAACTATACTTCCATCGTTGAAGATGTAAGCAGTACAATCTACAGACTTTAATTCTTAAAGTGTGTGGGGCGTTTATGTGCATCATAGTCTGGTCAAATCCTACATTAATAAATTGGAACCGTAATTACATACGCTAAGTGTGGAGACTGTTACCAATAAACAAATTCATAAGATATGCATATAAAATATTGGGAATATTAAGTAATACATTTATAGTAATAAGATAAGTTAGATGTCACGAATTCATGTCAAAATACATCGGTTTGCCACAAGTAACAGTGAGACGTATGGAGTTGTCTTTGAAAATGATTGACAATCTATACGTTACTGAATATTAGTAAGTAGTATGGTCAAAAAATAAAAATTAGAATCGGGGGAGAAAAGAGCAAACGGAATTAACAATCCCATATGTCTGTCCATTAGTAATTAAACATTGACATTCCCAACGAAATGTTAGATTGTTAATCTTTTTTCGTCATTTCTTATTGTTTTAATATTATTTCTACAGATTTACTGTCCAATTACAACAACCTATTACTATTCCACCGGGGGATAAAGTTTACGCTCTTGTTTCATTGGTTAATCCACAAAAAACAAGTAAATTAATATTGGAGAACTGTTGGGCAACTGCTACACCTAATCGTAATTCAACATTAAGACAAGATTTAATTGTTAATAGGTTAGTAATAATTAGTAGGGTTATTTTTCATTTTGAGATTATAATTCTCACACTTCCTAATCTCTGTGATTTGAAATTGATCTTAATGTACCTGAATAGATTCAAGCCAGCTATTCGGACATAAGCAATGTAGCCTCTGCCTTGATGTGGTATCTGATATTGGGTGTCGTGATGACTCAGTTAAGCATTATTGCCTGAAAAACTCCTTCCTTTATGTTCCACTATACCGTATCAGGCAGGTCAATTGGATAACGGTTAGACTTAGAGCAAAATACTCATGGTATGAAGGAAAGGTAATACTGAAGATTGTAGGAAGTTTTTCTCATACACCTAGCATTTACAACAGTTGTCTCCTCATAACGAAGATAAGTAGCTAAGAAAGGTCGGTCATAAGAAAAAACAAACTTCACCTTACATCATGGGTTTTCGTCCTCAGCAGTGGGGCCTTAAAAGTATGGGATTCAGAGGACTGAAACTACTCACTACATGATATGTGACCGACTTCGAGAAGTTTTCCGTGTTCACGCTCTCAGGTCATGAAGACAACTATTATTCTAGTTTCTTTTTCAGGTGAATCAAGAAAATAAGTTCTCATCCACTTGAAGTAATAACCAATAAACCATTTTTAATAAAATTCTAAAACACTTTGTTCACGATTAAGTGGATCTAAAAAAGCTTTTGGTAATTATCGTCAAGTTTACAGATTTGATAAAAATAAAATTTCATCATCTCTTGTGATATATTAAAACCTTTTAGCAACGATATATTGGTAGGTTTTACTTCTTTTTTACATAGTTCTTCATAAAAAGAGTATTATGTAAGAATGAGCTTAAAAAATAGTGACAGATATTCAGATAGTTCTTAGTTAATCAGAAAACAGCCTTTGAAAATGGATAGTTTATAGAAAAGGGAACGATAGGTTTGCAAATTGTAGACTGACTTCATATTAGTGAACTCGAACCCAGTACCGTCCCGGATTCAACATTAACTCCAGGATACCGGTTCACCCAATTAACGAGTCTCATGTAGGACGAAACTCACATCCTGAATTCCCCTACTAGCCATTATCCATCTCTGCTTATAATGCTTGTGATGTAAGGTAATATCGAGGCAATCCGCACAGGATGCACAAATGCCAATAAGAGACTGATCAAACGCAGTCTTAAACATCAATGAAAAGATTCAAACAACCAATGCAAGATGAATGAAAGAGAATGCTATTTAATTTTCAATTTAGTAGTTGATCTTATCATATAATGCAATAAATAAGTAGATAGATTAATGACCTTTGACACTTTCATTGAATAAATCAACAAATTATTAACCGAAGTAAAGTACAAACAAACACGTAAATTAGCATATACTTACATATTTATGTATGGAAAGTGTACATCTAGACTGAAATAATTGGTTATACGCTTCATTCTTAACCTCACTATTTATTCAAACTCTTGTATATACATATATTACTATGAATAGTAATGAATAACTTACATGGTTGTTTCAATACACTTCTCAAAACTAATTCATATAAACATGTTTCAATTGGTTGTTATATTTCACTATGTGTATGTTTGATGTGCATTTCTACAGTGACTACCACTAACCTGTAAGGTATTAATGATTTGCAAAACATTTTCTATTATGATCGATTATTCTAAAGGTTTGTGTTACATAGTAGATGAAATCTTATCTAATTGACTTAGAATTGTAACGGTTTCAAAATCCCTCTTAGAGAATATTCAAAAACACAGAATATTTGAATGAACAATTGTTTTCAATAATTTCATCATCATGCTCCATAGTTATAAGTCCATAATTATTGTGATATTTTAGAGAAGCCAAAATAAGATAGGCATCAATGAATTTGACAATGTTATATGTTAGAAATGATGAGTCTTTGCCTGTCATACGGCATAAGTCTCACATCATGTGTTAAAACTCTTCGAAAGGTTTCTTTTGTACCTCAGAGTTACAGAACTGTAAAATTGAGTGTATTGATCAATTGATATTGTTGATCTTCTGTACCATAATTCAATTATCTAAAATAACCAGTGTACAATGGATTGTGTTATTTAAAAAGATACATAGTTTTCTCTTAGTTGTTGAACTTAATTCATATCACGTGTTGAATAATTCTTGTCATTAAAGTGAACCATTAAACGACAAATTTAGTCATTCAAAAAAGTTTTACTTTTGTAAGCCCCTATCTGACTCCAGTTTTGATCGTATGACAATGTTATTCGAGATATACATGCCGGTTACCCGTGTACATAATTATCGACTTAATTCACGTTAGGCAATAACGGAATAAAATAAGTCAAATACGAGGAGGAATTTTGAATAGGTACATTTTGTACACTTATTGATCTGGACAGACAATCCGGAGAAGCAAATTGAAGACAGCGAAACGAAGCGGAGAATGTCGTTGGGATAATGGAAAACGAAGCAAAGCGCAGCGAAAGCGAATGAGACAACTCTATTTAATCAAGTGTGACTCAATATTTATAGTCAGACAAAAATAGGTTACAGATATTTGATGAGTAGGATAAGCAATGAACACATATACGCTCATATAAAAACAGTTAAGGTTAATAAGCGAATAATAAACACGGTCAAATTGTTACTCAAGAAAAATGAATAAAATGGTCTGTCCGGAAGCTAGAATAACACATGTGGGCTCGACATGGTACTAGACACTTATACTTTACAGCAAAACTTGAAAATATCAAATTCCAATCTCAGTAGGACACAGTTCCTCATACTGTTGATTAATTGTTTCAACTATAAAATCTATAGTAAAATGATTGTCTTCTTTAATAGTTTTATTTTAAATTATTTTATCTTTCTGCTTATAGATGTGCTGCATATGAAGATCTTACGGTTGTTCCATCTTCAGCTACACAAGTTGGTTTCACATTTAATGCATTTTATTTAAATACTGCCGGATCAATAGTTCCCATCTATTCAAATATTTATCTACATTGTGATATACGTGTATGTGATATAAGAGAGAATAATGAGAATTGTCAACAGTATTGTCAATCATCAACAATATTTTCAACATTATCACCATCAACTATGCTAAACACAACATCAACTGGTGTTCAATCAGTGAAAAGATATAGACGTGATTTAAATTTTATCAATCCAAAATTTCTTCAATCACATGGACATATTCATATTGAAAGTGGACAAGTTATGACAGTGTAATAACGATAAGATTTATATTAATGGTGAGTATAATTATTGTCGATATGAGCGGTTGAACGTTGTTTATACATTTTTTTCTCAATGATAATCTTTATTTTGTTTACATTTAATTAGGGACTCTCACCAAATTACTGATTGGTGTATTCAACTTTCAGTTAAACTCTATGTAGGGTCTACTGATACAATTTAATCGCTTAAGTCAAAGTAAGTGAGGCTGGATTCGACCTTGTGACCTAGTGAATGAGAGTTGAACACCTTAACCATCATGAAACTGTTCGACATTTTATAATCACTCAAATAATAATATTTACTTACTTACACCTGTTACCCCTCGTACAGGAGCATAGGCCACCCATTTGAATTCTCCATGGAACTCTATCTTGGGCGATCCCTTCCATTTATTATTCATCCTTTTGCTAATAATAATAGTACTACTACTAATACAAACAATCCATGAAAATGTAAGTCTAGCAACCTAATATGATATATATTTATTAGAATATCGTGATTTTGGCAGACTATTGCATTGGTATTCGAGTGATGTGTGATTACATTGGCTAAAGTCCTGAGTTAAAGGAAACCATAAGCAATACAAGAGAATTTCATCAAGTATGTCACTCAGATCAACTTGAACACAAGGATAGATGAAGAAGACAAAACCTGTGAAGAAGACCCCTCATACACACAAGGCCATCAGGACAAAAAGACTAAGTATTTATGATCTGATTAAAATGCGCTTATGCTGTTTCATGAATCTGATTTCAACAACTAATGTTTCTTCGTTGGCTAGTCATAAGAAACGAAGAACTTAGCACAAATTTCTATCAGTTCAAAATGACATGCCATATCGATACAGTGAGATGAACTTATCAAAATAAATCTGAGTTTTAGAAACGACACTATCTGTTGTGGAAGAAAAAGGAATTGACAAAATAAAAGGTATACAATAATCCTAAAACTCAAGATCTGATAAAAGGCAAAAAGTGAATGAACCTACTCTAATGAAACTAATTCTGAACTATGTCAACTTCAGTCACTAACCATTTGTTATAATAATCGCCCAGATCCAAATGAAGTAGTTTGCACTTACCTAAACGCTTCAGTTGGTCAATTAATGACTTCATTTATTGATATCACATCTTGATTCGAACTCCCATACTATTCCTCTATCAGAAAACACTGTGTTTCGAAGTAGTCAATGGTTGGCTATGCGTAATTGTTAGGATAGTCGGAAAAATATACCAATTGTTATCGTGTTAAGCCTATGGTGGCCTTGGACCTTAAATGTACATTTCCTATTGGTCGATGTTTATTTCACTTGTTAAATATTGTGTAAATGTTGTTCTCTATTTTATGGTACGATGTGGTTTGCTTGTTTGGTATATAAATAGAGTATGTCTGAAATACAATGATTCATAACTCAGAGGCTGTGACTTGTGTTCTTGACTCAACTGGCTAGGACAGACAGCGAAGCAGGGCCAATCGGGGCACTAGGTCGTCCACTGCGTGTTTTCCGTGTCACTGTCACCGAACCGATCAATAAAACGCTGCTTATCAAAACCTGCAGTCTCACACGTTACAACAGTAATGCATATCCGAATCACCTCACTCGAAAATGATTCACAAACTCATCGACTTGTTTGGTCATTTGTTATCATTTCGCACCTAGTACCCTACTTATTCAGTGATACTAACCTTATTTCGACGTAGAAAAGTCATCTCTCGTACATGTACACCACAATGAAGGAAATTAAAGGAAATAAGATCGAATAAAATTTCTTCACCAGTTGAAATCACGAGTTAATCTCAGCTAGACCACCACTGAAAACCTGGAAGCCCTGAACAGCCGTTCCACCCTAGCATGGGACTCCTTAGCAGTGCGCACCCACAATCACGCACATGGGACTCCAACCCAGGACCTCGGGTCTGGCGTGAACACAACCTCTGGACCACTGAGCCAGCATTCTAGAGTTCTACTGAGAAGCCGCAACCTGTGGAGTTCAATTTTGTTGGGTGTGTGGCAGTTACCTATCGAAGACTATGGTAATTGGTCACCCAACTTCATGAAATGGTCGGAGATACACATTAGTACCATTGAATACCGGTTCAGTTGTCCAGAATTTAAGCGTTCACGCATTCGTTCTTCCAGGATTTCAGTGACAATCTGACTTACATTTACTCATAATTTCAACTGTAAAAATACTACAATCTTTTTCGTAAAATTTATTTAGACATTTCATCATTATTAAGTAGTGTACCATTCAAAAGTGTACATGTAAGCAATTCTATAATTTCACTATTACATCATTCCCTTAATTTATATTCTATAACTGATAATTATTTTCAAATTACTATTTCTATTTTCAGATATAAATCAAATCATTATTCTAATTATGTACACAAACTTTTACCGATGGACCAATCATTCAATTATCAATGAATGATTATTCATATTCAATACAAATTAGTTATTAATTGAGACTTTTTATACACGTTGTTTTTATATTGAAAAAACAAACAAACAGTATTCTAAATAAAACAAAATAATACACCTTATCATAAATTGTCCTATTATCTTCATAGGGTAACTCAGTTTACATTAAGTTTGTTTATAGTTACCCGATGTTTGTTTGTTTGCTCGTTTTTATTTCCTTTTTTGTTATAAATATTTAACCAGTTTGTTTGAAATAAATTTATCATTTAAATAATACGTGTATTTGTCTCTGGTTGAAATCATGGGTCATTTGAAGCTAGGCCATCATGGAAAACCTGGAAGCGCCGAACGTTCGTTTCGTCCTAGTATGGGACTCCTCAGCAGTGCGCATCCACGATCCCGCACTCCGCGAAATTCGAACTCAGGACCTATCAGTCCCGCGCCAGGCGCTTAACCAACTAGACAACTGAGCCGGCATCCAACGGTGTTAATGTCTAACTTCAACCAATCCACTTGTATTTGTGTTATGTCCTTTGACCTGTCTATCCACTGTTGGTGCTGAGGATACTTATCTAATCCAGATTAAGACCTTGGCGCGATAGACTGGCCGACCTAACCTTGAGGTTAGTACGCGTGAGTTCGAAATGGGGTAGAGAGAAGAAAACTATTCTATCACCTGATTGGCTGACAAGCATACGAATGAGAGAAGACAAGACAACTGGAACACTACTCGATCTATTCCCGATTTCTCTGATTTCAGATTAGTGTAAAAACGTACATGAATAAATAGGTGACTAACCCGACCACAACGTACAATAATTAGGGAAAATACAATTATGTCCAAAGCTGGGAATTAAAGTAGAAAATAGGGTGCAAAATATTATGTTTAAATTACAATAGCTTCGGAACAGAAAAGAATATATGAGTGAATCATACATCGAACGAAAGCTTATGTTCTGTAGAATAGATTAGGGGGAAGAATAAGTGTTAGTGTTTTACAAGCTTTGCATAAAATGAAATAACGTCCCGAAAAATAGCTTTCGTAGTTTGTCAGAGCTTCTTGTTTCCCTGTTCACATAAATTTGCTTGTCTCTGTTCTATTCTACCTTTTCTTACTTTTGAGGAAAAAACATGATCTCTAAACAGTATTCAAATGTTAAATATTATAATACAGGTTCAAATTTAATTTCCCCTAGATCATATCATTTTAAGAAATTACAGAACACTATACATACAAGAGAATAATATAATTATCAGTATAGGATTATGGTGATTGATGAGTTCCAATAGAGATCATGAACCGATCAATATTAGACAACCACTGTAAACCTCGATGCTGACTCAATGGTTTAGAGACTAAGCGTTCTTGCCTGAGGTTCTAAATTCGAGTCCTGAGTGTGGGATCGTGGATGTGCACAACTAAGGAGTCCTTTAATAGGGTGAAATGGGCATCCAGTGCTTCCAGGTTTTCAATCGTGGTTTAACACTATTTGATTCATAATCCCTATTACAATAGTATAATTTAAAAATGAATTTTACGTACATTTATAGCCTAATAAATAAATGAATCATCATTTAAGAGTTAAATTAAGACAAATATGAAATATCGCTATTAATTACTTAAAGTGAAATATTAGATCAATTTTATTCTCTAATATGTAGTATATATAAATAACAATGGGAAGATACAAGTAAAACAACACCAAGTGAATTTAAACTTCACTCAATTGCACAAGCACGACTCAGCAGCTGAGTGCAGAACGCGATGGCGTTTGAAGAGAACGGCACTGGGTTTGAGTCCCGGAGTGAACATCAACTCTGGGATGTAGGTACATCCAGCTGACAAGTCTCAGACAGGACGAAAGGCGCATCCTGGGTTTCACTGCTAACCACTATCCATCTTTGTTTAAAAAGCTTGTGACTTAAGGCTATATCGATGCAATCTGTACAGGATGCACATATACCAACATGAGGCTGATCAATTGCAGTCCTAAATAACGATAGAAAGATACAAGTAAAACAACACCACATGGATCTATTAAGTATGTTTTATTTAGTTTTTCGGATCTCATTTCATTCATTTAATGAATGATTGTCTTATAATAGAGTGCGATTTCTTTTTTTTACCAGACTTCACTTCATGTATTTGATTAAGTCATTTCCAACTATCCTTTATAAATGTACCATCGTAGTGCAGCTTACCATTCTGGATGTAAATCAAAAATATACTGAAATCTTTAATGGAACGAATATTTTATTATACAACACTTATTATATGACTAAAAAGAACTTGAATACAACAACACATTGAGAATAATCTCAACTTAGAAAAATAACATGTGAACCGTATGAAGTATTATTTCCTTTTAGTGGCCCGTGGATCTGACACCATTTAGATCCTACGAATGTTTGTTATCGCCTATTCTCGTATATAATCATCGACTTTAATCGCGTTAGTCAATAATGGATTTAGATAAGTCAAACAACGAGAATGGACTTTCGAATACATATATTTTGTATATGAAACGAATAGAGAGAAGAGAAACGACGCAGAGTGGAGATGGCTGGTAAGCCAACTCCATTTCTAGCCTGGCGTTACAAAATAAACTACAGGCATGTGATGAGACATGGGATATAAAGTGTACACACATATACGCTCATATAAAAACAGTCAAGACTGATAAGCGAATAATTAACAAGGTCAAAATGTGACTCAAGTAGAATGAATAGAATGGGATGTTCGAAAGCTAGAATAAAGTATATGGGCTTAACAGAATAACTGACACTACATCATAATGTGTACAAATTTATTATCCTAACAAACTGATGGATTGTTTTAATCAAGTGTTTTTTCTTTTCAATAACCAAGTTATTCTTTAATAAAATTATCATTATTTATTAACTGAGAAGAATACTTATCTTCACAATTGTATACAGTTAACTGGTATCAACCATAGTCTGAAAACATATTTGTAGAAGAACATATACAATTACATTGTGTGTTATGAATACATTTGCAGTAAGGAAACAGATTTCTCAATCTCTATAATCTATTGTACAGTATTAAAATCGAAGGATTTTTGTTAGTATCTTTAATTACAACTATATGCCATTTCAAAAATAAGATGAAATACGAATATGGTATTTTTATCATAGTTAGTTAGTCACAACTTAGAATCTGGTATGTACGTACATCAGTTCAAGTTGTCATACTCTATGAACACAGAGAAATGAAATTTTAAGACTAAATCCCAGAAGAATAGATGTAGCAACAGTATTACTTGGACTATGTAAGATTAGGCATTAAATATACAATTCGAGGAAATTTAACTTGGTGAAAGAAAAAAACAGAACTATGAAGAATTCAGAGGCTCAGAATGCTGGGGAATAAGAAGAATGGATGCACCTGCGTAGTTGCAAACAATTTCGACCCATGTTATTCGAAATTTTTACATGATTATTATGTAGTGTCCATCTAATATGAACATAAATTCCAATATCTACAAGAGTTTAGAAAACATCAGAATACCATACCTTTAATATTTGATGCAACGACTGTCCACAAAATGAATTCAGAATTACTTAAATAAAAAACATAAGAATTCATGACTTACGAAAGTTAGTACTGAAGGTGCGATAACATGGCAGCGATGAAGTATGTTTCTTAATCCTTGGTCATTTTGACTGTACGGTTATATAAATTTGAAGTACTGTCGGATGTTTGATAGGCATAATTGATCATTTTTTAAAGAAAAACATTATTCATAAACGTTCTCTCCCAAATAAATGTGACCGCAATAACTTTGTCTCCTCTGAGTTAAAGGAGACTCAGACTATCAAAGTTTGACCGCCTTATCAAGAAACAGATATCAGCGTCTGCGGACACTGTATAGAGTCGGCATCAGTGAAGCAGTTTGTAATATAATACATGTGATTAATAAGTGTGTCTGTCGACACTCGCCAGCCAATTGCGGATTACTCTGACAGAATATATCAGTAAACTAATTTATGATTTTGTTAAATAAGCACTGTTAGTAAGGATTACAATGGTTCTTTTAATGGGAACTACAGAAGCTATCAGAAAAACGAGGGGATACATAATATTCACACCAATTACATTGTATTTCGTTTTATTTATGAATATTCTTGTCATTGAAACGATTCCATAATGCTAGTTTGTAGAGAGAACATATTTGGTTAAGTTATATCATTGGGTGATAAAAGGACTGATTAAACTAACAAAATGGGTATGAGGACATTTCTCTGATAATTTACCGTGTTAAACTGTCAACAGTATGGTTCTCTTTACATTGTCCTTACTTCAGCAACTGAATGCCCTAGTAATGCGCTAACTATACAATTTCGAGTATAACATCATCTGTATTCCATAAGTTGCATTATAACGAAACAAAGGAACTTAAAGATTATTCGACAAACCTGGCTAAGATCGAGATTCGACCCCAGCTAGTACATGGAAATGTACACGGCTAGACTAGAGAAAATACGCTACATATGATTCTCCTTTTTCTAATTAATCAAACTGGTATACGAAGTAAGTAATTTTGTATAGTATACCACCACGATTTATAAACATTGTGACAACTCTATATACTCTGGTCGAAAGATGAACTAAACTAGTTCCCATAGACAAAAATTTCAGTTTTTGCTAACTAGTTCTATTTCTAGAATATCCATCCAATAATTCTACAAGTAATCGTTTTCACAAACACTTCTCAGCCAGTGTTTGCGTTATCTTCATTTATCAATTAACACTTACATGTAGTTAGTTGGAGCTTTTTGAACAGTTTAATATTCTTGGATGGGGATTCAGTTTTCTTTATTAAGATGCTTTCATGTAACAGCTTCCACAAGGCTTAGTACCTTCACGAGGTGTGTGTGCTTTCATAAGTGGGAGTGCTATAGCTGACTCCTACGCTTAAATCAGGTTGATGGATACAAAACCCATAAACAGTGGTTGAGAAATGTGATTCCGAACCAACAGTGCACATGGGTTTCGGGTAGTTATTGGGGCTAGTGGTGACACCATACTCTGTTCACTGGTTACCACGTGATTACATCTAAGAAGATAACCTGCCCTGGTTCGGTGCAGTATCACAGCTAATAATAATGATGATGTATACACATCACGATATAGGTACAGAGTGGTAACTTATTCTGAGGATTAGGTTGGGTATGTAGAAAAATGTATAAAAGGTCGTTATATTCACCACGCTGCATTTAAAACAGATCATTTTTAAGTTAAATATA